TTGTAATCACGATTACAAGTAATTGATTACTGTAATCAATATTGTAATCATGATTACAGCTGTAATCGAAATTTTTGAAAATTGTAATCATGATTACAAGTAATTGATTACGGTAATCAAAAAATGTAATCGATTACATTTTTGGCCCACTCTGACTGAAAGCAGCGCCCTTAACTTCATTTTGGAGAAGGAAGCTAAATTTTAAAAAATAACTTCTCTTCCTTTAATTGTCTCACTGGTGTAATCACAACGGTGTAGAAAATTGCTTTTTATATTTTAAATGAGAATACAATTTCCACCAGAAAAGTATAAAATCTATGTCAACCATAAATGTTGATTTGAGAAGCATATGAACAAGATAAATAACAATTGAGAAATTCAAGGTAAAAAGAGAAAGTCGTTAGTTTAATTAATGAAAATATCTAGAATAAATATTTATTATAGGTAATATTCATAATGTGCATAATCTTTTATGACATCCAAATACAAAAGTTTAAATATTAAAATTATTTTTGTTCGTTCTTTAGCAGACGCAAACAGTTTCAGATTTTTTTAAATGAACTGTTTTTGTAGTTTCCTTTTCGATAGAAATTAGTGACAAGGAATTTAGTCTCTCTGTCATAGTAAACTTATAAATTATGAAGATGGTTTTTAAACTTTGGGATGTTTTAACATTTTTGAGCAATAATTTTACCCACATATTTCTTCATCATTGTTAGAAGATCAATTCCCTGCCCCAGTCTGAAATCTGAAAAGTCAAATACTACACATTTATTTAGTTTTATATTATTTACAGAGAGCCAGATATTGTGAAATTCATTAAAATAAATCGAATGAACTGGGCAGCTCACATTTTCAGAGGAAATGATGACTCAAATTTAAAGAAAATCCTATTACACAAACCCCTAACGAACAGGAAAAGAGGTAGATCCAGGCTGAGATGGCTGGATTTAGTTGAGACTGATTTCCTTACTCTAAAGGAGAAAAACTGGCGAACAAGTGTCAAAAGTAGAGAGAAGTGGATTCGAATTCAAAGGAAGGCACTGGCCCACCCTGGGCTGTCTAGCCAGATATGATGATGATGATGATTATTTTCTGACAATTTTTAAAAATTAAATGACAAATGTTATGAAAACTTGAATTAAAGTCTAGCTGTATGCTCGTATAAACCGAAACTAAAGAACTAAAATTCTAACTAAAAAGAAAATTTAATTATTTTGATAGAAAAAGTTCAATTAGCATGACCGCGCTTGGAAAAAAAACAGTTATATTAGTCTCAAATACACTTGACAATATTGAAAAGTGCATTTCTTAAATTGAAAATGAGATTTTCTTCTTCTTTTTTTTGATATTTGAAAATAATTATTTTTAATTTTCATAAAATAATTACCAGCGACCAGTTGGTCCGCCTTTTTAAAAAATTAGATTTTCACGTATTTCGAGATTTTAAATCATACAATCAAAAATTATGACAACATGTAAGTAAAATAATCTCATATTGCTCAAGTGGGATTGGATTTAATTTGTGTTTCTTTTAATTTTTTACATGATCTTATGGTTTGGTGGTAAATTTGTTATTAAACTGTCTAGTACAACATATGCGAACATAAAAAGAAAATGCTAATAATCTCAATAGTTTCTTTTTTAATATTAAATCTAATTAGTAACCTTGTCAAAATCAAGCTCTGCACTTATTTGCAATTGTTAATTCTAAGCCAATGAAATTCAGTTGTAAGGATTTTTCGCCAAAGCGAAAATAACTTTAACTTTTATAAATTTCTTTTAGTTAAAAGAATACGCGCATCTAAGACAGCAAACCATACATTAAAAAAAAAATTAGTTTAATGGCACTGTTCAAGAACTGAAAAAAAAAGCGTAACCAAGTAAATGAGCCTTTACGATGAGAAGTTAAAATCAGCCTTAACATTTTTTCGAATCAGCAATTAAATTACAATATATATTGAATTAGTAATTTAAATAGCATGTCGATCAGTTATATTTAATTTAAGTTCATACGAAAGATTTTAGCTATTAAAAAGTTTTCTTTTCTTCATATTGAGAACCAGGAGTTAAGACTTAACTGACATAGGTCTTAAATGTGTGTACTCAAATATATTATTTATATACAGGGAACAAAAAAATAAATGGACCACCCAAAATAACTTTTGATCAAATGATCAAATCTTATAAGTTCTAGGACTGAATCTTAATGGCTCAAGGGGGTGACTTCAAATATGCCAATTAATTCGTGAGGACGATATTTTAAGTAACGAAATCAAACACAAAAACATACTTTCTCTGAATAAACATACCTTTTTATTTCGAAAGATGCAGATTTTTGGCCCCAAAATACAGGGGATAACCGCAATTTGGGAAATATATCGAATTTTAAAAATACGACTTTTTTAAAATTTAATTTCTCAGGTACTCTTCGGCTGATTTCGCTTAAATTTCATATTTTGCCTTGTAAAATTATATTCTTTAAAATGATGTCAAAAATTGTGTACTTAAATTTTTTTTTTTTTACTCTTATTAGCTAATATAATAAAAAATATTTATTAAAACTTATATTTTGTATGGAATTCTCTTTGGATAGACGAATTTTTTTAATTATGTACAAAAATTTCTCAAGTCGCTCAAACAGTTATCGGGATATGGCGAAATACGCAAAAAAATAAAACTAACATTAAGGGGTTCAAACTTTGGACAACTCTCCTGACCAAACTATTGGGGCCATATTTCCCAGATAGCGGCTATCCCCTATATTTTTGGTATCCAAAATAAGAATCTATAGTAAGAAGATCTGTCTAATCAGAAAAAGTACGTTTTTGTGCTTGATTTCGAAACTTAAAATATTGTCAGCACTAATTAATTACACATTTGAGGACAATTTTTTTATGAATTTATAAATTTATTTACTCGCCCATAAATAAATTCACTGCTGTGAATATAGTTACTCGATGCTTATTCGCAGATCTTAATGCAATGCTGAAACTTATTACCTTCTTCACGAATTCCATTCTCACCCCTTGCTTGTTAAATGGTTTAGAGAAGAGATGGGGAACTAGGAAATGCCTGGAAAATGGGAAACAAAATGGTCAAAAGATAACTTTTCTGCTCTCTCTCTGCAAACTAACTTATATGTAACTTATATGTAAAGAACTCTAACTGCAAAGAAAGTTAAACTAAGAATATCTGATTCAAAAAATCTATGAATATATTTTTCAAACAAATAATATTTTTTGAAAAGGAAAAATTTATAATTTGCAAAGCATAAATTTAGGTCTCGTTCGGCTCCCTTCGTTTATTTCATGTTCAAGGAGACTTAGCTTGATATATACTGTGCTCAAAATAAAAAGCGAACACTCAGAATAACTTTTGAACTAATCTAATGAACAGATTTTCACGTTCTCAATCTTAATAGTTCGAGGAGTTAACATATATGTTAATAAATAATGCTGACGATGTTTTAAGTTATGAAATCAGATACAAAAAAGTACTTTCTCTCAGAATAAACATACTTTTTTCGTAACATTTTGATCCTTGAAATGTGGGGGAAGGAAAATATGGTCCCAATAATTTATATAGAAGATCCATTAAAAGTATTGACTCCTTCAAATAAATTTCAATTTTTACGTGTTCTGCTTTATCTCTGGATATTGCTAAGCGAATCAAAAAGTTTTATTACACAATTATCGAATTCATTTATCCGAATATAATTACATGTTAAATAATAATTACTATTAGTTATTTTATCTAGTGAAAGGAATTTGAATTGTAAAGTATTACATTGTTGTGCATGTAATTTCTAACGACAAAATACAAAAATCAAATGAAATTGGTTGAATAGTTCTCGATAAATAAAGTTTGTAATTTGTTAACTTGGAAACAATTTAATCTACCTCGTTCAAATTTTTTGTACTTTAAAATAACATAATTTAAAATGATGTAAAAATTTGTGCATATTGCAACTCAAATATGTTTCGACAACTTTCAGATAAAATAATTAATAATTATAATTTCTTTAAATAAAATTAACCTTAGATTAACGAATTTTATAATTGTGTAAAAATTTTTTTTGATTCTCTTAAAAATTTCTCCTGGATTAGCGAAACGAGCATAAGGTGAAATTAACATATTAAGGTCCAAACTTTGGACTGCCCTCTGGCCTAAACTATTGCGACCGTATTTTCCAGATTGCGGCTAACCAACATCCATGTTTTGAGAATCAGAATTTCAAATCTGCGGAAAAAAGAAGATATGTTTATTTAGAGAAAATTTGTTTTTGTGTCTTATTTCACAGCTTATTATATCATTAAATTATCGCTTGTATTGATTAGCGCACTTAAGATTTGACTTTTGAATACATTAAGATTGAGTCCCAGTTCCTGAAAAACCTATAATTTAATGAAAAGTTACTCAGGGCGTTCCTTTTTTTATTTCGCTCACACCCGTTTTCTGAAAATATTGAATCAATTTTCAAAAACTTTATTTTTTCCCATTCATGCTATGATGCACATTTTAAAAGTTTCGATATTAAAAATATATTTGCTCACCAAAAATATATTAGCTCGCAAAAACTTACCAATTTCTCGGTCGCATCTTCCAATTCATATTTGCGATTTTTTCTGTGCAGTGAGAATGGCCCATCAGTTATGAATGATTGACCCTTTTTGTTGCTTTTTATGTTTCACAAACGTTTATAACTTTGCACAAAGTCCTTAAAACTTTAAAGTTCAATCCTTTCCTTAAAGCAAAATAATTTTTTAATGTATTACGAATTTTAAACGACAAATCGGCGCAAAATTTATCTTTACGTTTTGGCAATAATATTCTGTAATGAACTGATACGGAGATATCAACAATGGCGGAGGTAATGTTAAATTATATGACATTTAAATATAAATTTATGTTATTATTAGAAAAAAAAAGTTTTTAAAATTCAAGTAGTATTAAATTAGAGATATGATTTTACAACTATATTAAAATATATTTAAACAAATGTGAATAACTACTACTGTATAAAATTAAGTTTTTGTATTTATAGTTTTGCCGCTTAACTTTTTAATGGTTTTATTATTAAAATTATCTATTTTTCATTGTATATATGTCTAATGGTATACTTCAAATATTATTAATTAAATTGTAGAAGCATTTATGATGCTTATAAATCTTTATAAGTTTATTTTGTTTAAAATATAATTTAATATGTTTTGTTTTATGATGAATCTCATTGATGACAAACGCTTAAGTTGTTTTCCCCCCTTTAAATCTTATAATTTTTCCAAATGTATATTATGTTATCAATTTAAATTGTGGAATTGTCATTGGTGATTATTTTTTTATGCGATGTATCGATACTGTTTAAAACAAGCTCTTAGTTAATTTAGAGGGGAAAAAACAATTTTGCTTTCATATAGTTTTATTTCTATATTTGTATATTGGTTAATCTTAAGTATACCATCAAAGAGTTTAGTGGTAATTAGAAAATAAATTTTCATAAGATGTACTTGACAAACATTGTTAATACCAAACATATAATTCAACTTTAAAGAAACCAATGAAAAACTAATGTTTTTGTTTACATTCTAAATAATTTTTTAACTTTTTTTTGTTAATGGTTTTATAGTTACATAGCTTTTCTTTTAATACATGTATTACTAGCAATTAACAATAGTGGTTGCGGGGAGATTTCCGTATCCTGATCTGTAGGAGAATAATCGCAAAGTCTTGGCAACTTCTGTGCACCCGCCGGCCAGAAACTAGACACCCATCTCAGAAGGAGACTAATTTGTAGAGTATAACTCCTAGCCACCCGTGAGCAAACCTCTACATGTTTTTTTTTCCTTAAATTTTCTCGTTTAAAATCAACTTGGCACCTTGGTGATTGTAGTTGACTTGGCAGAACAGGATATGGGAATATCCCCTTGGTTACCTTTAAATTTTCCCTTTTTGGCATTTTTAATAAACTTCAACTTGTCCAACAAGCTACCATATCTGGTAATATCTAATAAAGGAAAAAACTTAGAAAAATATTTAATTAACTCGAGATCTGTATCTTAAGAATGTTTCAGGATACTTTTGTGATGTGATCATGTCGTAGTGTCTCATGTTGTGACGTTGCAAAAAACCTTGAGAATCAGTACTATAGAATTTATATATAAATTCTTATAATTATATTTATTGAAAAAAAACTATATTTTATTCCACCTTTTTCCTTGGTACCAATTCTCTTCTCAACAGTATTAATTAACTTATTGTGGCAGTCAGTCATCAATGGCACCTAAATAGTTTTATTTTAAATGGTTCAGATAGGCGTAATTTTAAAGTTATATTCTTAACTTTATCTTTATTTTACTTTTTATACAATATTCATTTTCTTATCATAATAGTAAAAAAGCTTTTTCTAAGGATTATGTTGAAAATGTATACACAAACATTTTAACTTGTATGTATATTTTTAAAAAAATATACATACAAGTATACAACACCTAAATCTAAACTAGATATCTTAAAAACAAAATTTAAGTACAAACTTTTCTCCACATTTAAGGATGCTGATTTTGAGTAATTCTCTGTTAATATATATAAAACATATTTACTGCATGCTTAATCAAATTTAGCCAATAAAAACTTAAAATATATGAAATATTTAGATGAAGCAAATCATATCAGTACACTCCAACTTCAAAAATAAAACAGCTAAAATTACTTTCAATAATTTACTTGGTAAAAGAACTAGCTTGACAAATAAAAAGAAATGCATGATTGAAATATGATAAACTATCTCTTCCTTAATGCATTTATTACTTTAAAAATCAAATTTGAAGATGTAAACTTAGATATTTTTTTTGTCTAAGTTTACATCTTCTAATTTGATTTATTTATTTTATTTCAGCTTTATCATGGCAAAAGGTTGCAAAGCCTTTTGGAGGCAATAATTATACTTTCATTTGCAGCATAAACCATCATTTGAGCTACTTCTATGTTCTTCCACGTTTTGAAATGGCTAGTTTTAATCTTTTATTATCCTTTCTTAGCAAACAATGGCACCATTTTCTTATCCAATTAAACTACTTTCAGTCTTAGCCTACTCTGCCTTCATTTCATAATTTTTAAATATGGTGAATTCGAATTACAAGGTTTACAATTACAATATGAGTCGAGATGTGTGAACTTTAAATCATATGAAAATGAATCGCAATGTGATTTTTAAAGCATATGGATATGAATTAAGTTGACTCTATTCTAGACAAACGAAATGAGAAATGCCATTTTCAGGGTGAACAAAACTCAAGGACAGAGACTCAAGCTTATGACCTCATACTCTTATTATAAATAGTTTCATAAATTACATATAATAAATATTCAATTGTAGTTTTAAAAAAGTCATCTGTTAAGTTTAAAATCTAAAATAAGGCATTGGCATTAAATAAAAAATGCTTTTGTCTGATATTTTATTTCACTTTGCAATTTTAGTATATATATTTTTATTTAACTATGAATACACTCTTTTTATATTGGAAGGTAGGGTTGGGATTTCCTCTGGAAGAAACCGTTTTCTTTTAGCACATCATAAGAAATAAAAAAAAAAAAAACATAAAATGGAAGCTAAAAAATGACCAATATAATTTAAAAATTACTGTTAAATGAATAGTTCAAATTTAATTGAGGTTTTACATTTCCATATTATTAAAATTAACTATTTTTGTATTTATTTTAGTTGTATTTATAAATTTTTTTAAAAACCATATGAATTACTATTGCATTATTGTTATGATTTTGAATTTAAGTTATCTTGATTTTCTTAAAACAAGGACGGCTAGTTTCATTTTCTATATCACATCTTCATTAATATATTAAAAATCAATCAATATTTATGTATAAAAAAAAATCTGTTAAATTTTTAAAATGAAGAAAAAATAAAGGAAGATAAAATAAGTATTTATTTGATTAACTTGTTTTCTTAAATAGTTTTTCATGTTATTCTTTTTGTTTCAGCCTAGTGCAAGTGAATCAAGTGCAGGTATGTATATTTTTATGCTAATTTTTTTAAAAGATTTTATGATATGAATCTAGTTATTCATGTCACAAGAATTTCCTTAATTTGATACCTAATTGGAAAAGTAAAAGAGGCAGATCAAAACATCTAGAGAATTTTTTAGGCATGGCCTAACTGGGGTAATGCATTTATTAACAGCTCTTGAGATAACTTTACTGTTGAGGTAACTTAACATCCCCAGCTTTTAAAAGTAGTTTACAAAATATTAGTATTATGATTCAGTTATTATAATTTTGAAATTTTTGATTCAGTCAGCTAACTTGATTACTTTTTACATCACAAAGGTTTTATTTTAAGCTATTAGCACTGGATCCCAAGGCACCTACTGAACATTCCACTTTATGTTTTATTTCCTCTTTTTTTTTTCACTTAGTTTATAACAATGTTTGATACACCTTGAGTATGTAATATTTGAGTTAGGTGCAGTATAATTAGGTGCAAATTTTTATACACATTCAAAAATGTTGCTCTGTGCAAGCATTTGAAAATTGGGATGTTATAAAAAAATTACGTACACATGAAAAAAAAACCAAAATCATAATTATACTAATTTTGTACTATGTTCTGGAAATATTTTATGATAACAGAATTTTCAGTTTGTTATAGCTTTTCATGCATGAAGATATTTTTGAAAAGAGCAAATGACTGGTGGCTGAGTAGTTAAATTTTATGCTCTTGTGCCACAGGTCTAAGGTTCTATCCTTGGACCTGGCAAAGGTTGACTCAGTCTTTCATCCCATCAGTGAAATGAGTATGGAGCATGCTTGGGGACTAAACACTGGGGGCTCCATGTTTGGCTGACCACCCAACTGGAACATCTGTTAGTGCACCATAGAGCATAGGAGCAAGAAAATTGGGATAAACATAGTACAACTTGGTCCTCCATGGGCTGTTGTGTCACTGAGTTTAGTTTTTAGCTTATTTTATTTGTGGAAAATTCATTATTAAAGCATATTAGTAACTTTTTCTCTAAAATTTTTTATGAATTCTTTAAAAATGAGGTGGAGTACTGTAGCAATGTTGTGGAGAAATCAATTTTTTTCTTATAAACAAGTCACTAAAAAGAAGTTTTTTTTTTTACATCAAATTGATCTATAATTTTTTTTATAAAATCGACAAATTCCATGTACATTTTTGGTTCTTCCTTTGTTAGAGAAATGTAAATTTGTTGAAATAATGAAGTGGAGGAAAAAAAATTTGAAACTTGGCTACATGAAAAAACGAAATGTTTTTTTTTTTAAATTTCAGACAGCGATCAAGACTTTGATCCCACTGCAGAAATGTTAGTTAATGATTTTGATGATGAGCATACTTTAGATGAAGAAGAAGCTATGGAAAGTGCAGAAAGTGTTACTAATGAACTTGATGATTTGCAACGTGTGAGCATATTTTCAATTTTATTTTTAAAGTTTTCATATGAATGGAGACATGTTACACCAAACATGGTTCTGAAGGTTGTTTAATTTGCTTGCAGAATCTTTTTTTAAAATTATGAATCTATTTTCTTTAAAATTATCATAAAAGTTTTAAATCAGAGGCTTTCTAATATTTTAGAATAATTTTGTTTGTAAGTAAATAGTTTCAATTTTCTGTAAATCCATATATTCAGTCGCTATCAATAATTTACTTATCTGAACGTTTTACCGATGGAGATTTTTGATCAGGCTAACATGTATATAAACCAGGTTTTCCATAGAAGTTTTTTTTCTCTCTCTTTTTCTGAAAAGCCTTTTCTTTTAGTAATGATCATAAAAAGACAAATCCTTACATTACTATTGCAGGAATTAATGTGCTTTAAAAAAAGTTTAGCATGCCAGATTTTTTTCCAGAATTCTAGATCAGGCAGTCTGCTATCCTGGAGCTTAAAAATTATATTTCTATTGCTGAGATTGTATAGTTTTGGAATTTGTCTTTTCCTTCTAATCAAATTATAGAACTTGTGAGCAATAGAACACTTCTTATCTTTCTGTCTGTGTTGAAAAATGGAAATGGGCAAGTAATAGATTTCTTTTTGTTAAATAATTTACAAGAAATGGGTTGTTGTTATGGGGGGGGGATGAGAGTTCTAAACTTGACCTTCATCTTTGGAGATGGTAAACTTTCAGTAGATGATTGATGGTTAAGGAGTATGCTATTTTCTAAAAAAAATCCTGGCGGCAGCAGGTATACTTGATGAGAATAAGGCAATTTTAATTTGGACAATTTTAAGTTTTTTCTTTATTTTTATTTTTTTAAAAAAAAGCTTGAAATTGTGTTGCTGTTCTTCACTGTAGAAAAATTTCTTTTCCTTTGTTAGCTTTAAAATCTTCATATATAATCAATATTTATAATAAAATAATTTTTCTTGAAAAAAGAAAAGTAGAAATTTTACGTTAGCACTTTTTGTTTGGTTAAGAATTATTTTTCCAAAGTGGGTAATTTTTTCGTGATGTTAGCTTTTTTTCTCTGGAAGGTTCTTGCTGTATCTTAGTGTGGCAAACTGCCATGAAAAATAACCAGACTTTCATTTTTTTTAATTTCAACTTCTACTTCTAAAATATCACTTATTAATAACTTGTTTTTCATTCTTTCTTTTTTGCAAATGATTTTTTTTTAAATTTTATTTTTCGGTTTCTCAACCCTCAAATGGTTACATTAAAGTTTGTTGATATTTTTTAGGTATGTGTTTCTATTTACATACTTTCCTTAAACGGATTTCTTTATTTAAATTGGGCTTTCAGTTCTAAAACCAAATTTGCGTTTTTCCTTTTTTATATTTGGTCTTCAAAAATTTTTTTTCTCTTTCCATAATTAGATTTTATTTTGCAAATTTAGTGTTCATCCACATTTCTATTTTATTGACTCTTTATTTTATTGTTTTAATCCATTTAACTTAATCAAAAATTTATTCATGATACAATAGGGCATTATAAAAAAGATAAACTAAATCTATTTACATCAGAAACTTATTTTTTAATAAAAAATTTCGATTTAAAATTTTTATTATTACTTTTCGTAACATTATTCAAAAATGTGAAGAAAATTTTTTTTTCTTCTAAAAAGTGACATTTTATTTATTGTTATTTTTCAACATAAGTTTTTTTTTGGTATGATTGCTACCTTAGCTGTTTGGTTAATTAGACAGTGTTTTCACTACAGCGCGAGAATCTCGCATATTTTTTTCTTTTCTCGCATTAAAAAATTATTACCGCGAGAAATTCGTGCATTCTATAAACCAATTTCAAAATTCGCGAATTTCTCGCATTTTGAAAAAAATTTCTCATTGTGCCATTTAGAATAAAATGCGTTTCACTTTTCTTCCTGGATCTTTCATTATTTTCAACATCTGCCCCATTATCTAGCTTCCCTATTTACCAGTATTGTTCAGAACCTTTAAGAACAACAGAATATCATCCCTCCGAACCACGGAACCTCTTTCAGAACGCATTTCTCTGCAACCACATGTTTACCGTAGGTAAGGTTTCTCCATGTAAGAAATTCAAATTTTTTGCGCATTAATGTAAGATGGACAAATACCTTGAAAAGGCAAGATCTTCTCCGAAACGGACAAATGAAAATGAAACAAATGTGGGTAGAAACGATCA